AAAATATTTTCATTGAATTTATTTTATTTGAATGCAGCATTAGTTATTTCCCCGGTATGCATAAGAAAAAAGTGCAATCTAGTGGAAAACATAAAAAACTCAAAATTGAGTCTGCAACTGCCTTGGGAACCTAGACAGAATAATAAAAAATATGAATACTTAGGCTTACTAGAAAATAATATCCATGGTAGTCAATGGCGCAAAAATGCACTGAGGGTGCTAACGCTAAAAAATGATGTCAGTGTTGCATTAAATGGAGTTGGGGAAATTTTTTAATTATTTTTTATATTTCCCCCCAAAATACACATTCTCCCCAAAAATATATTCATTGCAGTAGCAAATCCAAAACTAACCACAAAAATACAACTGTCTGCACAAAAAAATGCTCTTAGGACATATAAGGTGTAGAGCAGTGGTATTCAGTTCCGGGACTGGAGGGCCGGTATCCCAGTCTGGCCTGCCAGACTGGTCCTCTGTTTAATTCTGCACAGAGAACTAGTATGGTTACTCACAGGCAGAGAGGCACTTGAGGGGCGGGACTAGCTAGCTCAAAAATAACCAATCAGAAAAAAGATGGAAATGCCGACTTTACTGCGCGACTTTTTTTAGCTGCAGTAAAAAAAAAGGCGTCTGGATATGGCACAATCATCTATTTTTTTTAGAAGAAATGCTTTTAGCGCTTCTACTTGTTGTGGTTTTAAAGACATTCAAGTCATTTAGAACAGAGGAAAGAGCCACAGCGAACTCCGCCGCTGTCTTCGTTGTTTATGAGAAACTGATCGTCGCTGTCCGCAACTCTGTAGATTTTTAGCTGCAGTCAAAACTGGCGTCTGGTGACGGCACAAATATCTCTCTTTAGAAGAAAGGCTTTTAGCGCTTCTACTTGTTGTTTTAAACACATGTCCAAGTCATTTAGAACAGAGGAAAGAGCTGCAGCGAACTCCACCATGTTTATGACTAACTCGGCATTGTGTTGTGTGATGTACGCTACTCAGCGCTGATTGGCTCGGTTAGAATTCCCAGGGGTGGGGGCATTTGAATAGGAGAGTTCCCAGACCCTTTCTCTGTGCAGAGTTAAACAGAGGAGTCTGGCAGGCCAGGCTACCGGTATCCAGCATGTTTTAGTGGTTTCTCTGCTCCAACACACTTGATTCAGTGGTTAAATCACCTGAGCAGCAGCTCATCAGGCTCTGCAGAAGCTTGTTAATCACCTGCTGATGGTAATCAGGTGTGTTGAAGCAGGGTTAAAACTAAAACGTGCTGGATGCCGTCCCGCAGGCCCAGAACTGAATACCCCTGGACTAGAGAGAACATGAACATATTCTTGTTAAAAATGTTCTTGCCTCGCTGTCTGCTTCTTCCTGCTCTTTGAGGGGGCAGACGCTTTTTCCCTCCTCTCCTCCATATCTTATCCTCAAGGCCTTTGTCTGTCTGTGTGCTGGGTGCACGGCTGCTTCTGCATTTTTTCTGGAAACTGGAAACTGAAATTCACTAAAATAGACCTCATCAGTTGGTCACTCAACGCGGTTGATACAATTTTTTCAACAATGAGATGGGAGAAGGGGCTCCCGGATGCCCCTCTGGGACAGACCCAGTTGGACACATCATGGACTCCTGGAAACAATGGAACTTGATGTGTTTATCTCAACTGTCTGTGGAGGACTCTGAAGATGTGTGGATATTCGTGGTGTTGGTGTCAGGTTTCCTGCTGATCGGCCTTGGAGGCGTCCTGGCTTACCGGAAAATTAACGAGCTGTCGAGGAATATTGGCCTGATCCCGGAGCTCAGAGATGGTTTGCACCGTGCTGTGAATTCACAGACTCACATTATTGCCGAGATGAATCGTAAGCTTGGGACTTTGGCCGAGATTCATTACTGGCACAAAAGATGGATGCCATCAAGGATAGAGTGGACGAATCAGCACGGATTGGGATAGATTAATGTCCATTATTGGGATTTTGAGAGGTTGAGGACCAACAAACTGTAAGACAGAGAGGAAATGATCTCTGTCTGGCCACAAAACAATTTCTAATCGGAATCTGGCGCCCTTGAGCCTGCAAGGCTCCAACGAAAACGCCCCCCTCAGAAGATATGTGGAATGTGCTGTCGCCATGGCAACTCAACTCTGTCTCCTTTCCCAGCCTGGGCGGGACTGCAGGAAGGCCGCTTAAACGTTCCAGGGTCACTGCAACCCTCCAACCCTCAATGCTCCTCCCCCTATCCACACTGAGGTGACATTAGAGGTGTGAATCTTCACTTGTCTCCCGATTCGATTCGATTACGATTATTGGGTCAACGATTCAATTCGATTCGATATCCCGATGCATCACGATTATTTCATATTGATTTGTTTTCATCGATAAATAGAAGATGTCAGATAATTGCTTTTTTTTTTTTTTATTAAAAACGTAATTGATACAACCTGCCAGCCCTCAAAAGCTCTCCATTCACAACAGGTTAGGACAAAACATTTTAAACATTTAAGAAGATTTAACAAAGCAAAATATCTGTTTCCTCTTTCAACACCACGCCTCAGGCTGAGAAAACACGCTTTACAAAATCTCACAAAATCTAAAAAAGAATTGAAAACCCACAGGACACAACATAATGTAATAATCAGATACAATAATGGGTTCATATATAAGTATTTAATGTCTCTGAGCAGCTCTAGAGTCAGATATTTATGCCGCAGTTGAAGGGTCTCAGAAATAACACCAAATGAAATGTTTGACTTAGTTTGTTATTTTATTTGAACCCAGTGGTTCATTTCTGAAATGTTGGAGAATGAATCAAGTTCTGTTTGATGCAGAAAATAATAAAACATAAAACAAATTCTACACTTCCAATAATATTTAAGATGTGTGTTTTATTCTTTCTGATAATAACACCAGCAGAAGGCTGTCGGCTGGATTAGGATTAAATTACCCAGCTGATGGCTCTCTTTCACTAACCAGCTAACTACAAACCTTTCCACTAACCTGTCCTGTGGGACCCTCGCCATGTAACTCTCATGTCCATGCTTTCTCTGGAGGAGCATAGGAGACAAGATCTCCTGTAACCTAAAATGAACCAAAGCTTCCTCCCAGTTTCTATTTAAGATGAATTTAACATCAGTTTATCATCATGAAACAAAATAATAAAGTGGAACAAGAACTTCTTTCTTCTATTTCTCTCTCCTTTTAATTTTTCCGTGTCCCTAAAATAAAAGACAGACGATCACGCTGCGGCCGCCGTCATTGACCCCGCCCCCTCCCCCAAGACCGAATCTCCCTACATTACAACAAGCAGTCTGACTGAGCGCTTCCAGGAGAAATAATAATTAAATTATGAAAATAATAATGCGTGTTTGGAGCATCGGTTTGGAGGAGCGTCCTCCGATCCTCTCGTGTGAGCAGTCCCCCACCCCCCCTCAGTTGCTGATCGAGCGAGCGGAGCGCGCCACGTGACAACCCGCTCAATTAACATAATTCACGGCCCAAATCCAACAGAACCGGTCGGGCTGATTCGGTTCCAGTTCGGTCTCAGGTTACAACTCAAGCGCTCAGCCCTGCAGTACCACATTAAGGCAGAACCACTTGTTAAATGTGGAGGAGGCTCACTCTGACAGATTTGGATCTGCGCTGGTGCCGCCGTTAAAAAAACAAAACTACATTCCACTATAATCGATTATGGCGTACTCTTCTACGATGCAGAATCGTTTATGTCCGCATCCCGATGCATCGATTATTTGATTATTTTCCTCAGCTCTAGGTGACATGCGCTGCTTCTATCGTGGCTGCAGGAACTGAAGTGGGGATAGTCCCAACCCACCACCCCACCTAGTGGACACTTATGTTGTGTTGTCTGAAGTCTGTTGCATATCAGTCTGTCTGAGGTGCTTTTTTTTTTTTCGAGCAAAGCTGCCCTCCCTGTGGAGGGTAACTCTGAAGTGCCTTTTTTTCCCTCCACCTGAACCAATCCTCATGTAACCCTCTGATCTCTATTAAGGTAGCGCGACTCAGGGTTGCGAATGACCACAGTCACCAATTCTTGTCATGTGTCTTGCCCATGTATGTCTGTCTGATCTCTGAATTGTGTGTACTGAAACTCTAATTTCCCTCTGGGATTAATAATGTGTCTTTGAATTTGATTTGATTGTTCTTGCTTCATTTAAATCCCATTTGCCAAAAACTTTGCTTCATTCCTTCAGAGCAGATCTAGTTCAGAACTACATTTATCCCCAATTTACCGCTTGTGTGAGCTAATAACTACCAGTATTTCTGCTAGATCTGCTTTCTGTCAGTGTGACTGATTACAGTCCCCGAGCTGCTCCCTTGTGTTTGCGTCTGTGCTGTTGTTTTGCTTGCGTTGTTGGTTTTATTTATGTAATGCATTGCCTTGCTCTGGTTCTACTCATAAAATAAAATCTGGCCTCTCTCTGATTAAGCTGATTAAGTGGAATCAATTTTCCTCTTAAAGGTAAAAATAAATCTTTTTTTCAAGCCTGCTGATTTTTTCCTACTACATAAGAGGCTTGTTGATGGTAGTCACAGCCACGACAAATTCCCAAATCAGTTTTCTTCAGTTCAGACGATAAACAGGGTTCCGTCCTCTTCACACAATAAATAGTAGTTATCTCATCACAAAAGTAATTAGGAGAAAACATCTGGATGCTGAAGAGGATTTTATCATTTCAACACTTCAAATTGAAAACAAACAAGCTTGATGAATCACTGCCAAATCAGTTGTGACTGAAATATCGCAAGCTGGTTCCAATCTTATTAGTTTTTTTAAGAGGGGCTGTTGATTATGAAGCTGTCAGCTCCTGCCACATCTGCTCCATCAGCCTGTTAGAACTGCGACAGATCTGGATTACCTGCTTTGATCTGAAGACCACATTGGTTTCTGTGAATGCTCTCCGTGCAGCCTGCTGCGGCCTTTTTGTTGTCTTTATGTTTTTTCTTGTTTTCTCTGACGTCTGTTCGCTGCCCTCATTTTGCCGCCTCTGTCTCGCTCTGCAGGAAACTCCAAACAAGCTCTGCGGTGTAAAACTTGCAAGATGGCTGCCCACCTGTGGTGCACCTCAGAACTATCGCAGCAGCAGTGCCATGGCAAGGTACGCGTACACACCGGCTTCTCCCACCATCCAGAATATCTTCATTTACTCCATCAACATGTGACAGACACGGGCAAAACTCTGTTAAAGGAAGAAAAACTCAAGACAGTCACTGAAAAAGGTTGAAACTGACTAAAGTTTTAATAAAGTAAAAAAAAATTGTTGACAATCAATTCAATTAAACGAATAAACCTTTGCTTTTGCTAAATACATAAATTAAAAACAACAAATGAAAAGCCTGACGTGACCATGGGGACATAAACTAAAAAATCACAATAGTCTGGTAATTAGTTTGTCCGTTGAAAAGTAAAGTAGTCACAGAGTTGATTGGTGTCAGGGTGTGTACCACACTCTATGTGGGTGACAGGAAGCTGAGGATAGAGTTGTCTTGGGAGGTTAAAAAGACAATGATTGACAAGCATGTTTATTACACTCAACAAAAATATAAACACAACAACTTTGTTTCTGCTCCGATTTTTCACGAGATGGACTTAAAGATCTAAAATTCTTTCCAGATACACAATATCACCATCTCTCTCAAACATTGTTCACAGATCAGTCTAAATGTGTGATAGTGGGCACCTGTGCTTTGCTGAGATAATCCATCCCACCTCACAGGTGTGCCACATCAAGATGCTGATCTTCTTCCAGCTCTTGGAGGGTGCAGATGCTGTTTTCCTCCTCTCTTCCATATCTTATCCTCAAGGCCTTTGTCTGTCTCTGTGTGCTGGGTGCACGGCTGCTTCTGCATTTTTTCTGGAAACTGGAAACTGAAATTCTCTAAAATGGATCTCGTCAGGTGGTCACACAACGTGATTGATAAAATTTTTTCAATGATGAGAATGGGAGAAGGGGCTCCCGGATGCCCCTCTGGGACAGACCCAGTTGGACACATCATGGACTCCTGGAAACAGCTGAACTTGATGTGTCTATCTCAGCTGTCTGTGGAGGACTCTGAAGACGTGTGGATATTCGTGGTGTTGGTGTCAGGTTTCCTGCTGATCGGCCTTGGAGCTATCGAGGAATATTGGCTTGATCCCGGAGGTCAGAGATGGTTTGCACCGTGCTGTGAAGTCACAGACTCACATTATTGTCGAAATGAATCGTAAGCTTGGGACATTGGCGGAGATTCATTCATTGGCACAAAAGATCAAGGATAGAGTGGACGAATCAGCACGGATTGGGACAGATTAATGTCCATTATTGGGATTTTGAGAGGTTGAGGACCAACAAACTGTAAGACAGAGAGGAAATGATCTCTGTCTGGCCCCAAAACTATTTCTAATCGGAATCTGGCGTCTTTGAGCCTGCAAGGCTCCAACGAAAACTCCCCCCTCAGAAGATATGTGGAATGGGCCGTCGCTATGGCAACTCAACTCTGTCTCCTTTCCCAGCCTGGGCGGGACTGCGGGAAGGCCGCTGACACATTCCAGGATCACTGCAACCCTCCAACCCTCAATGCTCCTCCCCCATCCACACTGAGGTGACATGCGCTGCTTATCGTGGCTGCAGGAACTGAAGTGGGGATAGTCCCAACCCACCACCCCACCTAGTGGACACTTATGTTGTGTTGTCTGAAGTCTGTTGCATATATGTTTGAGGTGTTTTTTGCAGAGCAAAGCTGCCCTCCTGGAGGGAGGGTAACTCTGAAGTGCCTTTTTTCCCCCTCCACCTGAACCAACCCTCATGTAAACCCCTCTGATCCCTATTAAGGTAGCGCGGCTCAGGGTTGCGAATGACCACAGTCACCAATTCTTGTCATGTGTCTTGCCCATGTATGTCTGATCTCTGAATTGTGTGTACTGAAACTCTAATTTCCCTCTGGGATTAATAAAGTAACTTTGATTTGATTTGATTGATTTGATCTGACATCATGAGTACAGGTGTACCTTATACTGCCCACAATAAAAGGCCACCCTGGAATGTGCAGTTTTTTGCTTTATTGGGGGTCTGGGGACCCAGAACCGGTCAGTATCTGGTGTGACCACCATTTGCCTCATGCAGCGCAACACATCTTTGCATAGACTTTATCAGACTGTCAAATGTGGCCTGTGGAATGTTGGTCCACTCCTCTTCAATGGCTGTGCGAAGTTGTTGGATATTAGTGGGAACTGGTACACGTTGTCGTATACGCCAGTCAAGCACATCTCAAACATGATCAACGGGTGACATGTCCGGTGAGTATGCTGGCCATGCAAGAACTGGGACATTTTCAGCTTCCAAGAATTGTGTACAGATCCTTGCAACATGGGGCTGTGCATTATCTTGCTGAAACATTAGGTGATGTTCATGGATGTACGGCACAACAATGGGCCTCAGGCTCTCATCAAGGCATCTCTGTGCATTCAAAATGCCATCAATAAAATGCACCTGTGTTCTTCGTCCATAATAGATGCCTGCCCATACCATAATCCCACCACCACCATGGGCCACTCGATTCACAACATTGACATCGGCAAAGCGCTCACCCACACGATGCCACACACGCTGTCTGCCATCTGCCCTGAACAATGTAAATCGAGATTCATCCGTGAAGAGAACACCTCTCCAATGTGCCAGACGCCATCAAATGTGAGCATTTGCCCACTTAAGTCTGTTACGGCGACGAGCTGGAGTCAGGTCAAGACCCCGATGAGGACGACGAGCATGCAGTTGATCTTCCCTGAGACGGTTTCTGACAGTTTGTGCAGAAATTGTTTGGTTATGCAAACCAATTGTTTCAGCAGCTGTCTGAGTGGCTGGTCTCAGACAATCTTGGAGGTGAACCTGCTGGATGTGGAGGTCCTGGGCTGGTGTGGTTACACGTCGTCTGTGGTTGTGAGGCCGGTTGGATGTACTGCCATATTCTCTGATCCGCCTTTGGAGACAGCTTATGGTGGAGAAATGAACATTCAATGCACAAGCAACAGATCTGGTTGACATTCCTGCTGTCAGCATGCCAATTGCACGCTCCCTCAGTGCTTGTGGCATCTGTGGCATTTTTCTGTGAGAAAAAACTGCACGTTCCAGGGTGGCCTTTTATTGTGGGCATTATAAGGTACATCTGTGCACTGCTCATGATGTCAGATCAGCATCTTGATGTGGCACACCTGTGAGATGGGATGGATTATCTCAGCAAAGCAGAAGTGCTCACTATCACACATTTAAACTGATTTGTGAACAATGTTTGAGAGAAATGGTAATATTGTGTATCTGGAATGAATTTTATATCTTTAAGTCCATCTCATGAAAAATCAGAGCAGAAACAAAGGTGTTGCCTTTATATTTTTGTTGAGTGGCTAGAAGGTAATCTGCACGTTTCATTTTTCTCTAAAAACAGTTATAGATTACTCCGAAGTTTAAGGTCCACTGGACTGTAGACAAGCTTCCTGGATGTTGATACAAAAAAAAACTGATTGCAAAGCCAGTTCAGTTCAGAATTGCTTTACTAGATGAATCTCAAAGAAAAATTAGAAGTTGCAGTAGCTTATTGCTAAAGGTTCTTGGAAGAGCTGGGTCCTGCTGTGGGAAGGAAGGATCTTATGACTTAGAGTGGATCTAAAGAATCATCTCAATAAAAACTCTTTGTTGTTGAGTCTTTTGAAGAGGAAGCTCAGGATGTCCTCCTTTATCCAGCCAGCTCTAGAGCCGTCGCCAGAACAGAAGCAGCTCCATCTATGACAACAAAGACTGTTTGAGCCAAAGTGGATTAAATGGATGACGACTGAGGAGGACACTACTGTTCAAAGAAAGTCATCTGTTCAGTTCAACTATGGACCTGCTTTACATCTGGACAATTAAATATTGAATCTAATGAATCCTCAAATCTATTGAGGTATTTGGCTCAGAAGAATGTTTTATGGTTGGGGCATGCAGATGCTTTCAACTTAAAGATTTTTGCCCAATTGGGCGTCTGCACTAAAGGAAGATATTACATCCAGATGTTCATATTTCTATTATCATTAGAACATATATGAGAGCTGTGAGACAGCAGAGAGGTGTGAGACAGCAGTGAGGTGTGCTGCAGGAGTGACAGAGGAGGTCATGGTGGGGGTGGGACTGCGTGTTGTTTGCTGTGGTGATGGACAAACTGACGGGATGTTGGACGGGAGTCTCCATGAATTGTGATGTTTGCAGATGACATTGTGATCTGCAGTGAGAGCAGGGTGCAGGTAGAGGAGAAGCTAGAGAGATGGAGACGTGTGCTGGCAAAGAGAGGAATGAAGATTAGTCACAGCAAGTCTGAACACGTGTGGAAATGAGAAGGACACAAGTGGAACGGTGATGTTACAGGGAGTAGAAGTAAAGACGGTAGAGGACGTTAAGTACCTAAGGTCTACTGTCCACAGCAGCAGAGTGGAAAAGAGGTGAAGAAGCAGGTTGGGTGGAGAAAAGTTTTGGGTGTGATGTGTGATAAAAGCTTTCAGCAGGAATGAAAGGACAGGTGCAGAAGGTGAGACCATCTTGTCTGGTTTATAGACAGCGTCCACGAGAAAGACAGGAGGCAGCGCTGGAGGTTGTAGAGCTCAAGATGTTGAGGTTCTCTTTGGGAGTGACAAGCATGGATAGGGTCAGGAATAAGTCCTTCAGAGAGACAGCTGATGTTAGATGTTCTGGGGATAAAGTCGGAGAGGACAGACTGAGATGGTTTGGACATGTCCACAGGAGAGACAATGATTACATAGGTGGAAGGATTCTGAGTTGGAGCCACCCCACAGGAGACCTAGAGGAAGACCAAAAAGGAGATTTATGGATGGGGTGAAAGGGTATAGAGGATGCAGAAGATGGGACTAAATAGACGGATGACTCGCTGTGGTGTCCCCTGAAGGGACAAACCAAAAGAAGACCGGGCTATTAAAGCGACTCTTCCTCAGTGTAATTCAAATATCTCCATAAGTTAACACCAAAAGTAATCCCTCAGGAACTGACATGTGAAAAAATTACCTGTTTTTGTAATCTAACTCAGGTGCTCCAAAGTTGGGCTTATTTTTCTCCATAACTTTGTGCATCTCACAGGAGTTTAGGACTGAAAATGATCTGACAAAGTTTGGAAGAAGTTATGTGGAAAGGACCAAGAAGTCTTTCATTTATGTGTGTGAAGGTTGGTTCTACCATCCCTTGAAATAATTTACATAAAATTTACAATTCAGCCCCAAGAAATTGAGTGGATGTTTTATTAAAAGTACACACTCACACATTTAAATATTACGAGGAACCTGCAAAATTTTTCTTCAAACTGGAACTGATTTGAGTGTTTTCTGTTTATCCTCTGCTGCGGGGGGGACATTAGCATGCAGCAGGAGGCTGCTCAGAGCAACCAGGAGACATTTTAAGAGCAGGGTGCTAAGGCAGCTCGGTGCAGCCTGACAGCTTTGCACCAACGCAGAGGGAGATGTAGGAGATTGAAAAGGGCAGTAAAAGGTGTAACATGATCACCCTACAGAATCTGACAATCTCATCTGGAATTAAAGGTGTCACTCGGTACCTTTGATTCCTCTCCTTGACGTGACAAAAAGAGAAGCTGATCTACAAGTGTAGACAAGCTGAAACATTTATGGAGCTTAATTCAGTGTGAAATTGCAGACATGGAGACACAGAGACTTTGGATCATGCCTGTGTGAGCCGTGTGCACATATGGAAGTGGTTCGGTTGAACCACTGTGGCAGAAACAAGCTCTCTTCCTGCAGCAGGTGCCACTGTGTGCATGCATGTCTTTGTGACTCAATGTGTTTCTGATTCAGTCATTTTCATACGACTCCATTTAAGTCCTGGAATCACTACACAGTCCGGGCCATTTTCCTACGGGCCGAGTCTATATTCAGGAAGTAATGGAAGCTGAAAAAGTCATTCTGCTTTCTGCTTTCTGCTTTCTTCTATTAGTCTGGAGCGTTCAAGCGAAACTTCAGCTCGCCGATGCTCGTCAATGACCAATTGGCTGTCGTAAAGGAAGTTCAGCCAAGCCAAGGTGAGCTCTCGCCAAGTGCTCACGTGTGTGTGTGTGTTAGAGCTGGTTTGTTTGTGCTTTTGTTTTGTGACGTTGCTCTGTCTAGCGATTTGGTTTATCTTTAGATTTGTGTGTGTGTGTACCGTAACAAAACTGCCTTGCTCTCATCTGACAAATGTGGAGCACCAAGTGGAAAAAAGACCAAAAAAATAAATAAAAAATACCACCACTGATAAAGAGGAAAACTAATCCAGCTCCTCGGTGGACAGTCTGCACCCTGAAAGTGTGTGCATAAATATTTATAAGCCCTGATGTTTATGTTTTTTAATCTCTGTTTATGATTTGCGCTGGAGAGAAGTTTAATGTCAGGCTCTGCAGTTTGCATGTCGAACATCTCCATAAACACAGAAATGCGCTGTAATTTATGACGAAGGTGAGCGATAGCCAGCTCTCTCCTGAGCCGCAGTCATCTTTCACAGAAAATCCTCCCCACTCACTTCCAAACACACTCTGAATTGCTATGTCTGTCAAATAAAGCTAGTACAAAATAAAAAAAATATTCTTGGCCTGAAGTTGTTCACCGTCTGTAGATGGTGGCTTGTGTTACCGATGGAGATGAAACACTGCTTCATCTCTCAAGAAGTAGCCTGCTGAGGGTTAGCTTATGTTGTCACTTCCTTGTTGTGCTCATCCATCAGAACAAAATTAGCCATCATCACAGTCAGCACCTGAGACTCTGCAGGGTCTGTTGAGGTTGCATCCCGCCGAGTCCCAGTCACACAGTGTCCTCTTAATTAAAGTGTTCTCATTAAACAGCTCAGGTGGAATGGTGGGGATTCTTTACGCAGGCAGTTGGCCACATTTATATTAGTTACCGTTAGAAATATTTTAACGTGTTTCATCTCTCTCCATTTTGGTTTGAAATTGAACCATTTTACAATCAGACAGTTATGGTCAAGTTTCTTAACAGATTTAAAGGTTAAAGTCCCATTAGTTGTCACACGCTGGTGAAATTTGCTCTCCACAGTTGACCTAACTCCTGGGGGAGCGGTCAGCTGCAGCCACGGCCGCGCTCAGGAACTATTCGGTGGTTTAACCCCCAATCTAACCCCTAATGCTGAGTGTCAAGCAGGGAAGCATTGGGTCCCATTTTAAAGTCTTTGGTATGACCCAGCCATGGATCTGAACCCACGATCATCCAGTCTCAGAGTGGACACTCATACCACTAGGCCACCGAGCTGGTGAGTTTAAGAAAAATAACCAATTTTATTCACTAGCCATCAGCTCACCAGTGATGAGGGACTCTGTTGTTATGGTTACAGGCTGTTCTTGAAACTTTAAACATTGAACAAAACACCCTTTGAAAGGGCAAAAAAAAAATCCCTCTCTATAATTTAATGTTATTTTATTTCCACTGCTATGCCCCCGGATGCTGATCTGCTTTTGCTCACAGCTCAGCTTATCCATGCTAATGTTGTTAGCTTCAGGCTAACATTTGACCCCATTAGCTTAGCCAAACAACTACTATAGGGCTTGTGATCGTGACGTCATCACTGACGCGTCCGCCCTGTTGGAGGTGTGTGATTCCTTACTTCTTACTACTGTAAACAGTACGCTCAGTCTCATTATTGCAGCTTAAATTAACCTATTATTCACTTGATCAGTTATATTACACAACTCTAGTAAATCATTGCTGAGTTGTGGGGTGACACACGTGATTGCCAGGGGAATAAAGGTGGAACACAAGCTATCTTTTCACCGTATTCCTGCTTAGAGGTATAACCACGACAAGCACACACACACACACAGACACACACACACACACACACACACACAGAGGCTACACTCACATACCGGTGAGCTAGTGCGGGTGCGCTGACACACAACACATCTTTTCTTGCTACACTTCTTCTGTAGGATGACAATTTTGACAGTTTTACTAGAAAAAACAGCAAATTTTCAAGAAACTCCTGAAGACCCTGCTCTTCAGAGAGCATCTTCTTAACTAGCACCTTGCCTGCACCCGTCCCCTCTCTCTACTGTCCACTCCTTGTTCCCTACTCTCCATGACTGATGTCAATGTTGTTGTTGTTATTGTTGTTGTTAGCCTCAAGGGCAATATGCCGATTATCACTTGTAAGTCGCTTTGGACAAAAGCGTCTGCTAAATACATAAACATAAACATAAATAAAACATTTACCTCTCATCTGGATGTTTAAATCCACTCAAACCACAAACCTGAAAGCTGAAAATGTCTGTTACGCTGAACTGCAGCGGCAACAATATGCCATCAGTGCTCCAGTCTTGGGTCTTTCATGTGGATAAAAACCATTGTTAACTCTGATTTTGTCCACATACTGGTCCCTGACGTTTTTATATAACCTATCTCAGTCCATCCCGCACCCTTTTTTTGGGATTTTATAATGTTAAACACTTTCTTTCACCCAAATCCACTTCTTCTCTGCGACAGTATCATTTGTTTCACGTGTGCTTACACTCGTCAGCCTTCCAACATGGCCGCACACATCCCATAATGTTATGTGTACTCAAGTGTGATCGCAAGCCCTATAGCAGTATTTAACTATCCCCCCTCCCCCCCCCCCCCCCCCCCCCCCCAGATGGCCGAATCCGCCAGACTTCACTCATTTTCTGAGGGAAACCCTGAATTATGTATGAATTTTTTACAATTCCATAAAGATTATGCTCTAGCCCTTTTGTATTGTGATATTATGTTGGCAATGTGTCGGAGCGCAGTGTCCCATCGGTTGCTTTGGGAGCACAAAGGAGTGGGGTCCCTCCTGCAATAGCTTTTAGGGGTGCTGGGATTCAGTTGGGGTCAGCACCCCCCAAAACTGGCTAGAGATGCTTATGGCTGAAACAAAATCATCTAACAGGTTGTGGATTTTTAAACCAATAATTCAATAATTCATAAGCCAGATGCAATAATCATAGTCGCATGTGACCCAGGCGCCACCAGTTGACTCCATTTTCATGTTAAATGATGCATTTCCTCACAGCTGCTATAACACAGTCTGAATTAGCCTTTGGAGTGAATTCTTATGTTGATGTTGCATCTCCTTTATGAGGGAGGAGTCTAATTGCTGCAACAGGACAGTTGATGTTCTAAGATGTAATCTCAAAGTAATAAAAGCTGATTTGCTGCAATTAGAAATTAATTTCTCTGTTTATACAAGAACAAGCTGGGTGAAGGTGAGAATATTCGTGGAAAGAGAGCGAGTCTGAATGGTGCCATAACCAAAAGGACCGACCCTTTAGTGAAACATGCACAGTTTGACTTTGAAAACAAAATCTAAAAGCTGTACTTTGTAAAGGAGACAAATAAGACAGAGAACCAAAGTGTGTCTAAATACTCCACTCTGGTGTCAGAACTTAAGTGTGTAAGATTCCCGTTGAATTTAGAGCACATCAGAACCAACTGCAAATCTCACACACACACACACACACACACACACACACACACACACACACACACACACACACACACACACACACACACACACACACACACACCTCGGCACTACATCCAGCTTGTGTTGAGCAGGATGGAAAGAGGAGCAGAGAATTAACGTCCTAATTTCAGGAATTCTGCCACGGCGCTGCAGTCTCCATGAACTCCAGACATGAAGACTTCGACAGGATTTCCATATTTTAAGTTTCATTTTATATTCTCCTTTAATCGAACAGCAGCTCCTGTTGGACTCAGAGTTGCAGAGTTATTGTCTTGATGTGATTTAAACTTTTGGCTGCCGCACCCGCACAGATCTAAAGTGGGTTGCTTAGGATCAGGACTGGATGCTCCACTACGGTTATATTTAGACCGGTTCCACCAGATTTGCACAGGCACAATGGTTCTGAAGTTCTGTGTTATCTCAGCATGTCCTAATTGCAGCGTGTCTGCAGCAAACACTTGGAGTCAATTAATATTTTACGTGTTATTTTATTCAAACGTGTGTGTGTGTGTGTGTGTGTGTGTGTGTGTGTGTGTGTGTGTGTGTGTGTGTGTGTGTGTGTGTGTGTGTGTGTGTGTGTGTGTGTGTGTGTGTGTGTGTGTGTGTGGTTTCAGAGGCTGTACGGAAGCGTGTAGACCCTGTCTATGCTGCCTTGCGCTACGGGACGTCCTTGGCACAGATGAGCCGTTCCAGTTTTGGCAGTTTATCAGAATCACCAACACGCAGTTTGGTATGACGTGATGACCCTGCGAGTGCGAGTAGAGGACAGTTCAGTGTGTGTCTCATATTTTAGACAACATACACTTACATGTCTGACTTAAGCTAAAATGCATCAGCTATCAGGAAACAAAGGCCGTTAGAACAAAATCAGGTATTAGAAAAGCAGCTGTCAGACTATTGCAGCCAGTTTCAGGGAAAAGACTGTTTGGCTAAAGGGCAATTCCACAAAATTTATACCATCTTTGCTCAGTTTTAGTTCATAAACTAGACTTTTCAAACCAGTTTGTGAAACCTTTATTATTTAGCGATAGTTAAAGGATGGGATACGTAGATGCTCAGTCATCCAAGGCCAGTGTTAATTTTGACAAGAATTTTTCATTTACTTTTAGTTTTTTAACTAAAATTATTTTTAATTGAAGTCATGATTTAGTCGATAAAAAATAAAAATCAATTTTGACAGATTAAAACATGCATTTTTCTTCTAATGCACTAATGTCCAACCTCTGTAAAGGAAACGTCAACTACACCTAGTGTTTGTTCGCAAGTCATTAGTCACAAAAAAATAATAATAATAAACTGAAATATTTCATCAACAAAATGAACACTGTCCAGTCCAGGGTATGATAATCTGGAGAGTTTAGCTGGAAACAGCAGGACCTGAAGATTTTCACCTCTTGTCCAAGAAGCCTCTTCAGTTCTATAGTCCGGATGAGGAGTTGTGGTCAGAAACAAACACTGATTGGGTAATAGAGGTCAAATCGGATCAAATCAACCTTTAAGCACCTTACAGGCATGAAACATGCCACCAAAGTGCTGTACAATCAAAATAAAACCAGCAGGGACAACTAAAAACCAACATTATAAACATAACACAATAAGAGCATGTATCAATGTCAGCAACAGCTAACCCAGAGTTAAAAGCCTAACAGTTAAGGGAAGGGCATTCCTTAATCTCAGACCCACTACCGAGAACGTCCTATCCCCTCTTGTCCAGCCGAGCTCTGGGAACCGAGTAAGTTATTGCAGTAGCAGTAGTTGGTGCAGAACGAAGTACCCGACCAGGAACGCGTGGCTGCAACACCTCTGACAAATAGGCAGGGGCCAACCCATTCATTGCCTTGAACACCATTAAGAGAAGTTTAAAATGAACTCTGACACTGACAGGTAGCCGTGCTGAGCTGCCAGAATTGGAGTGGTGTGTTTATTCTTTCTCTTGCCTTCCAAAAATCTCGCTGCAGCGTTCTGAACAAGCTGTAGGCGAGCTACAGTACCCTGACTTACACCAAATAAGACAGAGTTACAGTAGTCAAGGCGTGAGGTGATGAAGGCATGAACAACAGTCTCAAGATCCCGTCGAGTCAAAAATGACTTCGCTTTAGCCAAACGCCTCAGATGATAAAAAGAGGACGATACCACAGCACTGACATGAGCATTGAAACAGAAAGCATTGTAAATCCTCACTCCAAGATTGACTGATTGAGATTGAGAAGCACTCGGATAACAATTGAATTCAGCACAGTCCACATTAGAAGAGTCAAAGTGACCAACTGGTCCAAACAACACAGCCTCAGTATTATTTTCATTGAGAAACTAGAAGTTCTCAGCCATCCATGCCTTGGCTTCAGTCACACAATCCATAAATTGCTTTTATGTATGGATTGTACGGTCTCCAGTACAATCCAAGGATAGGTATAACTGGCATTCATCAGCGTACAGGTGGAAACCAATTCCATACTTCCGCACAATGTCACCCAGCGAAAGAATGTAAATTGAAAACAACAGGGGTCCCAATATTGAACCCTGGGGTACCCCCAAGGCAGATGTGAGAAGGCAGAAGAGAAACCGCCCATCCTCACACTAACCAGCCATTTAGATACGATCTAAACCAGCTCAGGGCCGGACCAGAAACCCCCACATAGTGCTCAAAACGATGGAGCAGCACTTCACGGTCCACAGTTTCAAAAGCTGCAGTGAGATCCAGCAGGACTAGCAGCACTGGATTCCCCCCATGAGTTGCGCCGTCAAGATCACATGGGCACCTGGCCCACCCTCTATTCTGGGGTCTTTATTGATAAAATGTATTAGCAACTCTTGACAACATTAAAACAGATCCCAGATATTCAGCCACTATCACATATACATTTAGAACAATATCAGTACAACTGACAGATTAACAGCCATATCTGTATTTATCTTGACCGTTTTCTTACAAACGTTTACTTAAACTTCTTAACTTTAAAATGGTTTGGCATGCTTTTAGGTGTGAGTTTAAAGAAATTACAGTGAAACTTTCTCTTGTTCTGACACAACTAGTCAAACATCAATTGAGTAAAAAAATAAATAAATAAGACCACTTTTGACAGCCTGCTGCTAACATTTTATTGTATCCTCTATTTCCTTCTCTGAGGGGGAGGGAGTTGAGGAGAGTCAGCTGAGACAGAGCAGCATGGAGGAGGAGATAACTCAGGAGACGGGGGGTAAACACTGCTGTGTGTCTGCCTGCACGTTTGTGTCGTTTCTGCTGTGTTTACACGTGCACGACTGGCTGTGTGAGAGATTTAATGTGGCTGCTTGTAAAAATGTGCTAATTACATGACTGTAAAGGCCTTTCTTTATGTCACATTTATAGAGGATCTTGCAGTCCTCCCAGATCCTCCTGTTCCAGAGAGTGAGATGGAGAAAGAGGACGACCTGAGCAGTGAGCAGGCTCAGGTTCCTGCAGAAGACAGTGGTGTAAAGGTACCACTCTGTAAAAGCCACTCTTTGTTGTTTTAATTCTGGGATGTGTGTTTTTGTCTCACTATCTTCCCGTGTCCAGGTGTCCAAACGCATTGAAGTCCACTCTATCCACACCTACGTAGCACTCTACAAGTTTCTGCCTCAGGAGCAGAACGACCTGGAACTACAGTGAGTAAAAGTCAGACACACACGTATGCAAGAGATGCATGTGTGTGTGTCTGTGTGTATCTGCACATTGCTTTACTGTGCGTTTGGTCCTCCCCTGCGATTTGCCCTGGCGGTTGTTCATGTAGGATGAAACGTTCCTGCCATCTGTAGAGGACGGTGCCGGGGCGCCCTTGAGGACAACTAATTATAAACCCAGATCCCATCACTGTTCCCATATAGAAGCAGTGGCTGAGCTTTGCTCCTAGCAGGAGAGAGGATGAAGACAATGAACAACTGAGAGATGAAAGGAGAGAGAGAGTGATATAAAGGGAAGTGGCGTGGCGTTGAGCAAATGGAAGAGACAGTCTCAGGAAACAAAGTAAAATATCAAAGTAGAAGCTCTGTAGATGAAGGGCAGACATTGTGGTGCGAGGGTATTTCTGATGGTGTGTAGATAACGTAGGTAGTTGGTTGGGACTCTTAGGAGCTACCCGTGCTCTGGCTTTGAGAGGGTCGTTGTACGTATGGGAAATAATGAGAAGTAAATTCTTCCAGGACTGGAGAGGTCCATTTGGACATCAGTTTCTGCTGACATACATGAAACTAGTAAATCTACGATTCTGACCAAAGGTTCTGAGAATGACACACATATTAGTTTGATGTTTCAGTTTGTTTTAATATCTTAGGTGTGTTCTTGCTGTGTCTTTGTATATCCATGCTTTCGTTCATTTTTAAACACAGAAACAGTTTTGTTTACCTGTTTGTAGCTACGGTTTCGCCGACAGCTGCCGGCTTCTTCAGGCTGACGCTGATGGTGGCGCGTCACTTCCTTCTCCGTTTATCTGCGGGCAGCAGAGGACGTTGTCGCCCTCTACTGCCCGCTCTCCCCTCTCCGACGATGCAGTCCCATGCGTGGTCCAGCGTGTAAACTCCGTCGTCCCTGTTCATGGTCTCTGTTCACAAAAACACCAACCCAAAAAAACATAGACATAGTAGTTAACAGAATCAGACAAGACAAAACTTTACATAAAAGGACAAACCTCACAGCAGATGACATAGCACAACTGATAGGACTGGTAGCTAACTCCACTTACTTCACAAACGACAACACAATATACAAACAACTGGAAGGCTTCGCCATGGGTAACCCGTTATCAGCCACCCTGTGCGAGTTTTTTATGGAAGACCTGGAACAAAAAGCCATAGCCACCGCCCCCCCAAACTGCAAAATAAAACTATGGAAACGCTACGTAGACGACATACTGGAAATCATACCAAAAGGTCAAACAGAAACACTAACACAACACTTAAACAATATTGACGACACGGGCAACATAAAATTCACTTATGAGTTAGAAACAGAAGGCAGCATAGCATTTATGGACATGAAAATCACCAGGCAGACCGACGGGACCCTAAACATAAACACATACAGAAAACCAACACACACAGACCAATATCTATTATGGACATCAGAACACCCCACCATACACAAAATGTCAGTAATCAGAACATTATATCACCGAGCAAACATAATAACAGAAGAGAGAGACCGTAAACAAGAGGACAAACACATACAATACACTTTAAAGACCTGCAGATACCCGACATGGGCAATAAACAAAGGAAAACAACAAACAAAAACAGAAAGCAAAGAACAACCCAAAAAAAGAACCAGAAACCCAGAAAGACAAGAACCAAAACCAGTGATAACCCTACCATACATCAGAGGCATAACGGAAAAAATAAGAGCAACAATGAAAAAACACAACATAAACACACCAACAAAGCCATACACAACAGTTAGAAACAGATTAGTACACCCAAAAGACAAAATATCAGCTGGACAAAAATGTGGAGTCATCTACGAAATCCCATGCAAAATATGTAATAAAACATACATAGGAGAAACCGGACGCCAACTCAATACACGGACAATAGAACACAGAAAGGAGTGCGAGAAAGAGGCAAATCAAAAACACACAAGAGCAGCAAAAGAAGAAGCAGAAAGTACAATAAAAAAGTCAGCCGTAACAGAACATTGCTTAAGAGAAACCCATATAATGGACTGGGACAGCACACGGATCATAACCACTGAACAACAAAAATACAAAAGATGGATCAAGGAAGCAATCGAGATAAGGAGACGTGGATGTGGGACCATGAACAGGGACGACGGAGTTTACACGCTGGACCACGCATGGGACTGCATCGTCGGAGAGGGGAGAGCGGGCAGTAGAGGGCGACAACGTCCTCTGCTGCCCGCAGATAAACGGAGAAGGAAGTGACGCCCCACCATCAGCGTCAGCCTGAAGAAGCCGGCAGCTGTCGGCGAAACCGTAGCTACAAACAGGTAAACAAAACTGTTTCTGTGTTTAAAAAAGAACGAAAGCATGGAGTTTGTTTTAATCTTTTGATCAGATGTTTGTGGGGTGCAACAGTGGCTTAGGGGTTAGGAGGTTGTCATGTGACCAGTGGGTTGCCAGTTCAAACTCAGGCCCCTGTCAGTTGTTGTATCCTTGGGCAAGACACTTCATCCTCCTTGCCTGCTGGTGGTGGTCAGAGGGACCACTGGCATAGATTGTGTTGCAGCCTTGCCTCTGCCTGGGCAGCTGTGGCTACACTATAGCTCATCACCACCAGGGTGCGAATGTGTGTGTGCATGGATTAATGATTCACTGCAGTGTAAAGCTTTGGAGTCCTCTGACTCAGAAAGGTGGTGCACAAGTACAGGTCATTTATCATCTAACCCTGTTCTTATGGTTACTGAAGTATATTAACAAGCACTTCCTACATTTTTAAGGCTTTAATTGATAATTACATTAAGTTGATGCTAAGGGTCAATGTTTAAAGTGTTGACACTTCTCTTCCATGCTGGCATGCTGCCAGCTGATGTCTGGTTAAGATGCTGACTGATGCTGAACCGCAAGTTGTCAATAGGATAAAAGGGAGTTTCCGTGAAAGGGATCCAAAATGTATGTTTTTCTTCCTGAGCCACTTAATTTTTACGTTAGGCTCGTGGAATGAAGCTCCGATATTGTTATCATCGCACTGATCTCAGATGGTTGTGAGGAGTTCCTCTGGGAGGGCGTTTAGGGACCATTCTCTTCTCAAGGCTGTTCTGAAGCAAAACTGTGAGTGAGTACAGAAACAACTCCACACATGAGTATCTCAGTTGTTTCGCTGTTGGCAGGACACTGTCATTTATCCAGACGGGAGTCGGATTCCCAACCTTTAGCCGAATGTCTTTGTTGGAGGGAGGTGATTCCTTTGCTGTCCTTCTTGACTCTACGACCCAACAATGGACTAAACAACTGCTTGTTGCCATTCTTGAATACGTTCTACTCTGGTGGTGCCCACAGCTAGAAAAGGTCCTGCTGCTTCTGGATAGTCTACCCTGGAGTTTAAATGAACTGCCATCATAACAACTGAGGCAGCAAAGTTGTGCTGATTAGTGTCATTCTCACATCCTAATGCATGTTATGCAGACATAAAGAACAAATCAGGCTTGACTGGAGATTTTAAACTTAACATCCTTAAAGAGGTGTCAGTAATCAGCCTAAAAACAGATTTTCCCAATGCAATGTCCTAGATCCGGCCTATATAGATAGGAACTACTGCAGAGTATGTGGGTCAAAATAACCATGACAACAATATGTAAATTGCAAGTAAAATTAGATCAACCACCCAACTTTGGAAGAGTATAAAAGCATATTTTACTGCCATTAGGCAGATCTGCTGTTCCCACAGTCATCAGTTAAAGTAGGTCAATCCCACTGTTAGACACATACCTATAGCTGCATGCAGAGAACTCCAAAAGAAAAATAGTCTGCAAAATGTGTCCAAAGATATAAACTAAATTAGAAACTTATTAGCAGCCACCACAGTAAAACTGCTGTAAATTTCTGAGCTGCTACTGTGTGTTTAAGCTGTGCTCGTGTAGGACAACCAAAAGACTTTCAAGCAACTGGGACATTTGTCCTCTTGTTTTTGGGACAGTGGGCGCTGTGTGTGTGTGTGTGTGTGTGTGTGTGTGTGTGTGTGTGTGTGTGTGTGTGCGTGTGCGTGTGCGTGTGCGTGTGTGCGTGTGTGCGAGTGTGTGTGTGTGTGCGTGTGCGTGTGCGTGTGCGTGCGCGTGTGTGCGTGCGTGCGTGTGTGTGTGTGTGTGTGTGTGTGTGTGTGTGTGTGTGTGTGTGTGTGTGTGTGAGTGAACCATCTATTCATTACCTTCTGGGGATATGTCTGTGAAGGTTCTCAGCCATCCAGGTCATTGTAGTCTAGTCGCCCACAAGGCTCATGTGTTTACGTAGAAGATCGTCAGGGGGTCTTTTGTTCCCTCTTCGGGGGAAACTCCCACTGGGTTTGAATCTGGGACTCCACCATTTGGCCTTAGAACTGAAGAAGCCTCTCGGATGAGAGGTGAAACGTCTTCAAGCAACTCAAAGAAGTCCAGACGCTTTTCTTTCAAAGCTCCTTAGACTACCTTCTGGGGACAATTTCTTGGGTTTATCCTGCAATGTGGGGACCTTTTGACCTTGTGGGGACATATGGCTGGTCCCCACAAAGGAAAACCCCCAAAACTTGGTTTTAGAGCTCTGGTATGAATTAACTTTTAGTTAGGGTTAAGGTTAGGAATAGAACCCACTTGGTTATGGTTAATCAGCCTAAAAGAGCACATGTCCCTCCTCTGTTCACTGAGCCCCTTTGGCTACCGTTAGCTGCACGATTCAAATTCAAATAGCTAACACTAGCGTACAAAGCCCTGGATGGTACAGCTCCCATCTACCTGAATCCTCTTGCAAAGGCTTACGTCTCGGCTCGGCCGCTCCGGTCATCAAAGGATCGTCAGCTAGCAGTGCCTACACCACGCTCAGGACAATCCAGACTCTTTTCATGTGTCATTCCACAGATGTGGAATGACCTACCAAGCCCTGCAAGAACAGAAACTCCTGAAGACCCAGCTCTTCAGAGCATCTTCTAAACCAGGACATTCCCAGCACCCGCTCCCCACTCTGCTGCACACTCCTTGCTCACTTCCCTTTATGATTCATTATAGGGAGCCTAAAACTTGGTTTATGCTTGACGCATTTACTTTCCGCTTGGTGATGCGGCTCGCGGATGGAACGCGCTTCACAACTTGCAGCGTTTATGGTTCATGCTGTCATGGTCTGCATCTGCCTCTTCCTTCATGTGTCTCCTGATGTTCTCCATCCTCTCTAGATTCCCTTCTGTGTCTCATAGCGCCCTCATGTGTCCTTTGTCTGCGTCTCAATTATGTGTGTTATGTTTGTAGCCCTTTAAAGTCAATTCCTCCCAGGTCCTGTGTCATTCATTCATCCCCAGCCCTCCAGGTCTTCCTTCACGTTCTGTAGCTCCAGCCTCTTTGTCCCCAGCTCGGTGTGTGTGTGTATGCGTGTCGTGCCCCAGTTGGTGTTTTTGTGTGTGTGTGTGCCATTCCCCTGCTCAATGTTTGTGTGTGTGTGTGTGTGTGTGTGTGTGTGTGTGTGTGTGTGTGTGTGTGTGTGTGTGTGTGTGTGTGTGTGTGTGTGTATGTGTTCAAAAGTCTTGTTACTTGGTCAGAATGGAGGCTGGGTGGGGTCAACTGAAGACCAATCCCCACCGTTAAAGGTTATGGTGTAGACATTCTACTGTCAGCTGCTTTGTCTCCTGCAAAAACACACCAAGACTCGTTCACGTTTTACTGCCACAGCTTTGTAACCATGTGAGCTACAGCTTTTTGTGCTTAGCTAGATAATGTCATCTTTTGTGCTTGTTCTCTGCTCTCTTTTCTCTCTTTCCTGCACCCATCACCTCATCTCCCCGCCACTTTCATCTCCTCGTCCTCTTTTCTTCTCCACCTCATTCACCTTCCCCATGTGTGCATCATTTTAAAAATCCTTTCTCCTGTTGTATTTCCTTTAGTCCAGGCGATCGGGTGCAGGTCACAGACGACTCTAATGAGGAGTGGTGGAAGGTGGGTAATAGATCATTAGCAAGCCTCTGAGTGTGTGTGTATGTGTGAACTTGTCGCTGTGTATGCCAGTTATTGTGTCATCTTGATTGTCCTAAAAGGTGTGCATCTAGTTTGCAAATCTGCCAATTCAAGTGCTTAAATTGACACTTTTGTGCCAAACACCTGCTTTGTATTTCATAAACATGCAGGCTGCCCCTTACAGGAATAGAACACCATTTCCTCTGAAAATTACCAAAAGAATTCAGCACAACGAACGTGACTGGTGTTTCAACTTCAACAAGGTGTTTATTGAGTCTGTAATGAGCTTCACTTACTCTCGATGGAAATAAATGTCCACGAGGGAGTGATTGTGCATTTGTGCATGTTTCAGTCCCAGACAGGATGCATCCAGACATAAGTCTGGGTGTGCCTTATCCACAGGCCTGGTATTCAATGCAGGTAAAAACTTACGTAATCTTACGTGAGGCAGCAGATTTTTAATAGCATCAATCTGCATGTCCACACCAATAAATCTTTAAGTGACGTATGATCTGTGACTCATCTGTTCATCACTAATGTGTATAGTTTGTGAATCACGTCAGTAAACATGGCTACACCTGAGGCAGCTGGTGGCCAACGGTGAAATAGTCGCACAAAACTCATCACCAGTTTACAGCAACAGAAATGGGATGGCATCTTTTGGGCTTTTGTTCTTTTCTTCTTTTTTTATGGAAAGCAAATTCACACATAACCCTGCAGCTTCAATGATTCATCAATGCATTCAGCACAATTTTGACTGATGAATAAATAATGTGCCTCCTTGATTCTCCCTCATGAATAAATAAATAGATGATGACAGCCTATCTGGAAAGCATAAATTAAGTAAAAGAGCCACCATCACTCCTAAATAGTTCTGTTTTGTACAACCATGCAACTTCACACTGCCAAAAATGTAAAAGCAGGGAGACCTTTTAAAACATCTCTAAGTTGTTTTGATGGTAGGTTTGTGTGAGTTCCTCCAGAGATAATTTATCAGATAATTTGGTTCTCTCTGAGCACATCCAGATATAACATCTTGTAACATATAACATTCTGTTAAACCATTTCTTTTCTCTCGGCAATCAGAATTTGTACCTTAGCTAAATATTCATTTTAAAGTCTTCACACTAAATATTTAAATTTTGACTTTTAGAATAAATAAAACTAAACAGTGTTTTTTCTGCTCTGCTCTCCAGGGTAAAAGTGGTGACAGAGTTGGATTTTTTCCTTCCAACTTTGTGCAAAGAGTCCGACCCGGAGAGCGGGTTTGGCGAGTCATCCAGGGGTTTCCTGGCAACCGGGACAAAGGACACATGGCAGTGAGGGAATCCCAGGTACAGAAAACTAGTGTTGGCTAGTATCAGCTGCGGTTTGGACCTGCATTTATTCAGATATGCTTAAATCTATTTATCTTAAATATGCCATTCCTTTAACTTCTGTGTCATGGATTTTTTTACATTAATCCTAATGTTAACTCATTCACTGCCAATGACGACTAAAGTCGCCATTTGCAATTTTTTACTGTTTGAGCATCGAAACGAGCCCCCGCGCTTAGAGAACAAACATCTCAACTCTAAAGCCGATCTTCATCCGCATACGTCACACGTCACGTGATCAGGAAGCAGAATATCCATGTGTTAGGAGATCGTTTTGGGCCGCTGCTGTAAAAAAAAGTGAGGAGCGAACCAGAAAAGCTTCTGCCGATCACAATTCAACAACGGATTATGAAAGAACGGATAACGCTCGAAACACGCGGATTCTTCCTGATGTAAGAGGTGAGTCTCCGCTTTGTTTTGGTTGTTTTGGTGTCGACATCATGCTAGCGCGCAACGTTCTGTGACTCTTATAAAAACAGTTAAAACGGTGAGAAACGCTGGCAGCGAAGGCCGTTAGTGATCAGGAAACGGCTGGCTGGCAGTGAATGAGTTAAAAGCAAATAATGTCAATGAGAAAGCTACATAAATGTGTAAAACTTTTGTAAATGTGTTTGGAATTTACAGCCAACAATAATAAGTCATTCAGCAAACATTTGGATTAATCTATTTCAAAATTCAATTCAAATTCAAAGATACTTTATTAATCCCAGAGGGAATTAAAGTTTCAGCACACACAATTCTGAGATCAGACATACATTGTCACGTTTAGAGTTGTAGGTTGGAACCAAAATGCAGAAATCCCAGAACGACTCAAGGCAGGAGAGGTTTTAAAGAAAACAATTCCTTTATCAAGGAGGATGTGCACAAATCCACGGCACAAAAATAAGATTAACTTTCAAAAACAAACTGAAGACTCGAAAAACAAACAAAACTCACACATGAGCATAGACTTTGGAAATACTCGAGAGGGGAAAGAACAACGTAGACAATATGACAACGAACCAACAAACACTGAGGGACAAGACAGGCTTTTCACAAAGAGGGAGGCAATCAGGGGAACAGGTGACAGGTGAGAGGAGTGAGGTCTGGAGGGAAGACAGGTGCATTCATATAACAAAATGGGGGAAGAACTAAAGCAGAGGGGAAGATAAACCATAATCTCAAAAGCGCTAAATAACTAAACTTAAAGACTAAGGGCAAAAAGATAAACAACTAATGACTAGCGGGGTTAGGAGGACTAAAACTAACCACGAACTATGAGGGAGTGATTAGGAGGAGACATGAGGGAAGCCTAGAGGGAGCTGGGGAACACAAGAAGACACATGAGGAGAACCTGAGGAAGAACAGGAGGGGGCTGGGGACCAAGGGGACACAGAACATGGCATACATAGGCATAGACACATGACAAGAATTGGCGACTGTGGTCATTCGCAACCCGAGACGTGCTACCTTAGTAGAGATCAGAGGGTTTACACGAGGATTGGGTCAGGCGGAGGAAAAAAAGGCACTTCAGAGTTACCCTCAACAGGGTGGGCAGCTTTGCTCTGCAAAAAAACACCTCAGACAGAAATGCAACAGACTTTAGACATAACGCAACATAAGTGTCCACTAGGTGGGGAGGTAGGGTTGGGGGCTCTCCACATGTCAGTGCATGCAGCCGCAATAAGCAGCGCTCATCACCTCCGTTTGGACAGGGGTGGGAGGTCGTTGGGTTTAGAGGGCACAGTGACTCCTGGAAACTATTCAACGGCCATCACCGGTCACAGTCCCGCCCAGACTGGGATAGGGAGACAGAGTTGCCATGGTGACAGCAGCATTCCACATTTCTTCTGAGGGGGAGTTATCGCTTCAGCCTCACAGGCTCAAGGGCACCAAAACTTGTTTTGGGGCCAGACAGAGATAATTTCCACTCTGTCTTAAAGTTTCTTTGGTCCTCCACCTCTCAAAATCCAATAATGGCGTAATTAATCTATCCCAGTCCGTGCTGATATGTCAACTTTCTCCTTGATGGCATCCATCTTTTATGCCAACGCATGAATCTCAGCCCAAGTTCCAAGCTTACGACTCATCTCGACAATTATATGAGTTTGTGCATTCACAGTGTGGTGCAATCCATCTCTGAGCTCCGGGAGTAAGCCAATATTCCTCGACAGCTCGTTAATTTTCCCGTAAGCCAGATAACCTCCCAGGCCAAAAAGCAGGAAACCTTACACCAACACCACGGATATCCACACGTCTTCAGAATCCTCTACAGACAGCTGGGAGAGGCAGATCAGGTTCCACTGTTTCCAGGAGTCCATGATATACCCAATTGGATCTGTCCCAGAGGGGCATCCGGGAGCCCCTTCTCCCGTTCTCATCGTTGAAAAAATTTTGTCAATCGCGTTGAGTGACCAGCTGACCAGGTCCATTTTTAATAATTTCCAGTTTCCAGAAACAATGCAGAAGCGCCGTACACCCAGAGACAGACAAAGAGCCTTGGGATAAGATAGGGAGGAGAGGAGGAAAAAAGCGTCTGGACTCTCCAAGAGCCGGAAGAAGAACAAGGAGCCAATATTGTAAAATCTTAGCAGCACAATAATTTCTCATTCTTTTTATTTGAATGTGAGTCCCAAGTGCTTTCCTTTCTGGCAAAATTTTTTCCCAGCTTATTTCTTTTTTTAGTGAATCAAATCTAGACAGACTATTTAGACGGGAAAAACATCTTATAATGAGTTAATTTTTCATCTTCTGTTACTAGATTTGTGTCGGGAAGCAAGAAGATGGCGAGATGTTTCTGAAGCTAAGCAGCGGAAAGAAGAGAGGCCTGGTCCCAGCGGACTCCATCGAGGAGATCTGAACCTGATCCTGCTTCCACACCCAGATCCAAATTATCACCACTAAACCTTTTCCTGCTTTCTGGAGAAGAGACAGCCTCAGCTTCTGAAACCAAACAGAAAACAAACATTCGTGCAAGGCCACCTCTGATGAACACCGCGTGTCTCACTGAAAGTCTTATTCCAGTGTCCTGTCATCCCAGTTCTCCGTTTTTAAACGCAAAAGTTCACGTTTAGACAAAGGGAGCACGAGTCAGTGTGCTGTCGTGTGTTTGCATCAGATTTAGTTTTCTCCATCAAAAACGTGGGAGGAGGCTGAATCCTGGGAACATCATGCTTGTGTCAGTGTCCTTTTCTTGCTTCTTCCCACTCAGTGTGTCTCATCTCTATCTGCTCACTTAGGGACTTTTCTTTACTCTGGGGAATATCAGCTTCTTGTAACGCTTTGTATCAAGAGATTCCTGCCAAGAACATCTACTGCCATCTATGGAAAGCTATACTGCCACTCCGAGAGTCTGCAGAACGAGATGAAAGAAATGTAAAAACTTCCTTAACGTCTGCATCAGACTTTTAAATCCTTCTACCAATTAAAGACTGCAGGAATAATAATAAAAACGCTTTGCAAAGGAAAAACTGCCAATCTGGGAATCTACGCTCTAATCTGCTTTACAGAAAATGCTTCATCTGTTCAGTTTGAAGCCCTAAAACACTTGATAGACTAAGATTTACCCAAATACTTACTCAAATGACATTTTAGTAGCTCATGAATAATTCTGTGTTTGTTGAGTTTTTTGAATCTTTTCATGTTGATGTTTTAGAACAAGCGTAAGAAAACAGAAAGAGTTTCTTCAGGAAATGTAGTTTCAGAACTTCAGAGCTGGAACAAGAAAAGTGTCAATAAGTGTGAAAGTTACAAGTGGAAGAAGCTGTTCTGTTTTCACACGACGGCGCTCGCTGTGCACAGAGGTCGGAGTCTGCTGAGACTTGCTTAAGAGCCACAGCAGGCTCCGCTAGTGCTGCCCGGCATTTCAACATGTTCTCTACAGCTCGCAACAGCAGGAAATAAACTGCAGCCAGTGTGCCTAACAGAAAAACTAAAAAGCTACAACATGCTGAGGACCTTTCTGGCCATAGCGAGGATTACAGGTTTCGCTGACGGTCTGGAGGAGGAGCCGGCGCAGTGAGACGAATGAGGCGAGCGTTGAACCGTTATGAGTCAGTCTGCGTTGAGGCGATGGCGTACCCATGGGTGCACAAGTTGTTCATTGATCAAATGTCAGCCTTCCATCTTCCACTTTGGCCTCTGTTGTCCTCTTGATATCGATGTGACTGGTCAGCTGTGGCATAAACACATTTCTGCTTGAATGCCAGCTGGACATCTTAGACATTTATGACTCATGCACATATTTTGCATGTGGGAGAAAGTAAAAATGGCTTAAAGCATTGAACACAACAATAGGATGATGAATTATTATATAATTTAGGTATTTTGCTGGTTTGGTTTTGGCAGATTTAGGTAAAATTTATCTTTTTTTCTTTTCTTCTAAACGTCACATTAAAAAGTGTAACAATCATCTCTTCTTGTGAAAAAAAAAGAAATAAATGAAAAGAACTTTATTGTAATTTACCCGACTCTTTGTGATTTCTTTTCTCTTTTGATATCTTTAGGTGCAGCTTCACCATAAAGCTGCTCATGTAATGAGCAGATAGCATGTGTCTGTTTGTAGATAACAACACAAAACGATCAGAGAGAAAAGGGAGGATTTATTTCAGCGCCCTGTTATCTTACACAGCATCCAGCGTTTTGTCTCATCATACCAGGTTTCTAAATTTGAGACTGCTGTTTCATGTCAATAATCAATGGCTGGCAACTTACCTCAATAAAAAGTCTTTATAAAATGTTTTTCAGGGAAAAAAAACAATCACAATAAAATACTTGTTGATCATGTTTGTCTGCATAACAGAAGGCAGAGCTTCTGGTGTTTTTCTGCTGCTGCTGTGTTAAATGAGGCTGCGTCTTTGGCTTGTTTTGGTGGCGGCCATGCATAAAGCACAATCCTCCATCCACTAACGCTCACCGCTGTGCACAGAGGAATGCCAGACTGATGCTCAAGACAGCTGACATATAAATAGAACATAATGGCACTGCTGGGGGGAGAGTAATTAAGGCCTGTTTGTCTTATAACACACAGAGCTGCAGGAAGGAGAGGGAGAGGAAAACCACATCATTTATTTTTATTGCTACTCAAATTTGGGAAATTACAAAATTTCCAGAACAGCTGGGAGTGAGATTTTGCATATATAAAGGAAAACAAAATTGTCATTCCCTAACACTTAATGCCACATAAAAAATAATAAAATAAAATAAATTTAATATATACATATATGTTGTACAGAAGCAGTTGATGTCTATCCAACATGTTGAGAAGTGGTATATACTCTACTGTACATGTAACAAGTCCATCAAAGACTGACTAGATATAAATGAATTACATTTCTTAGCAGAAATGCTGTTTGAATGCTGAGAGCTGAATGAATCTCCCTTAAAGCTGAGCTGTTGTAGCTGAACTTGAAATATTAGCTGAATTAGCCTTTCGCCGAGCACCACCCCCCTTAGTTACTGTTGCTAAGTCTGACAAACACGTGGACAAAGCATTAACAGACTGCCACGATGGAAAGAAGTAGATTTGTGTCAGCGACATCTTATGGAGCAATTCTTTCGCAATATCATCCAGAACGAGACAAAAAGGGTTACAGAATGCAGTGAAGTTATATATTCAAAATATAAAAATACGTAACAAAGGAGACACGACTACTATCGAAGCTAATAATGCTTACCAGTCACAAGCTAACTTGTGTGTCTGTACACATGTTTTGTACATGAGCGTCATCATCTTTTAACTTGTTTACAGTAACATAAAAATGTAACAAGATTACATGCTTATCAACATTCACATTTATCTATTTGCCTATCGTTTTTAGGCAAATTTTGACAGCCTTACATCAGGCACTGCTCATGTTGTTTTCAGCTTTGGGAATGAATGGAACTCAACTCCTCCACACAATCTCTGGGTGTCGACTGTCTGACTTACAGACGCCATGGGCACAACGCTATCCATCTTGCTTGAAGTTGTCTGACCTCCTCACACAGTAGAAGTTGCTATGGTGTGTGATTGGACAATGGCCATTTTGGGGGCGAGGCCAGCGAAAGGTCAACTCCTTAGAGCAGGGGTAGAAAACCTCCTTCCCTGAGGGCCAATATCTAGCATGTTTTAGTTGTTTCCCTCCTCCAACACACTAATCACCAGTTCAGTGGCTCAGCTCTGCAAAAGCCTGTTAATTACCTGCTGATTTAAATCATATTTAAAATTTAAATCAGGTGTGTTGGAGCAGAGAGACAACTAAACATGATGGATACTGGCCCTAAGGGAGGGGAGTTGTCTAATCCTGTTTGAAACAATATCAAGTTTAAGCAAAAACAGAATGATGATTCTTAACATGGTGATTGTCCAAAATAAAATGTGAAGAAGCATTCTATGCATGATCTGAACCGAGGGAGGACTGGAGGATCCATTGAAGACCTTCGCATGTGAGTTAGGAACACAGAAACTCCTTTATAGCAATAAGGAAATAAAAACTGAATGATCAGATCTGTTTTCATATTTAAGGTGCCTAATAGATGCACAACATCAAAACATTAACAGATTAAAATCGTAAGATCTTTTAGAAGTCAAAACAACTGACTTCCATGTTTAAAATGCCAACTTCACAGCAGAAATAAACATGTGTACAGCCTTGTACAAAAATCATTTAAGGTTTAATAGGTCAAGTTTATCACCATGGCAACTTGGGGGGGGGGGGGGGGTATTTTGTAACTCATCTGTTTAGATGTAATTAAAGCTTGAAATTATGAATAATTAAGAGTGTGTCATTTTCATTGACAGGTAGCCAGTGAGCCATTAGGATTAACTGTGTGCTCCAAGATGACCTCTTCTTTGACCTCATGTTAAAAGTGTTACAGCCTAGAAAGCAGAGTCACACAACCTTGGTTTTCTGGCTGAAAGCACCCACCGACCTCCGCTAACGTTGGTTAGCTTGGTTCAAGCCCCCCCACCCCCACTCCCACCCCCCCACCCCCCACCCCCCACCACCCCCCTCTCATGGACAACACACTCCCCACTCACACATGCTCTTACACCTGGAATATTGCAGAAGTTGGCAGCTTAGCACGTAGACTGAAGCTACATCAGATTTTGATCAACCTGTCAATCATCTGCCCCCACCCTCGCCGTCCCGCTCTTAGCTCCATTTGTGTAATTTCTGCGAGTGACGAGACATGTGTCACGGCCAAGATGGCAGTTGTGGAAGCCGCCCATTGTGCTTCAATTCAGCTCTTCAGAAACGTACGTGTAATGGCGCAGAGGGTTTGTCCATCTTATTTCTACAGTCTGGCAGCACACACAACTACTATTCTCATGGCATAACAACTGTTAGAACATAAATTAAGAAAATCTCATTTAGAAACAAAAATTAAAAGTTAAACTAACTTGTTAGTCTGACAGTCAAGAAGGAAACGCTTTACTTAAAGGGCAAGTCACCCCCTACCAGAGTCTTACTTCCTACCACTTCCTGCATGAAAAATGGAACAAATGCTGTTGCCTGGCAGACCGAGAGGACGGAGCCACTAACAAATACACACACACAGGCTCACAACAACATTGTGACATCATCATGTACCAGCCAACATCATAGAGTACCTGTTAGCCAATAGTGATGGCAGATTTAAATACAAAGGCAGTGCAGAGTTTTTACCTGATGACAGCGCAACACTCAGAATATTTAAATTTGATCTGAAATGCACTAAAGTGCCAAATTATGGACTACACGTGTCTGCAGCACGATTAGACACTCATCCATATGGTTTATTAGCAAAAAAATGTTGATTTGGGGGTGACTTGCTCTTTAAAGACGATGCAGGATAATTCTGATGCGCAAACACGTTTTAATGAAATTAAAAATAAAAGAGTTATCCGTAACAGATTTGTCCAGCTCCAAACAACAGTTCATTCATCACAATATTAATAAAGAAACGAGGGCTCATGAAGAAACTGCTCTTTTTCTCATTGAATATAACCAATGCAAAAAGCTGAGGTAGTTTAAACTCAGCCTTTGATCCATTCAATTCAAGTTTATTTATATAGCGCCAAATCACGACAAGAGTCGTCTCAAGGCACTTCACATAATAAAAATTCCAATTCAGGTCAGTTCATTAAGCCAATCAGAAATAATGTTTCCTATATAAGCAACCCAGCAAATTGCATCAAGTCACTGACTAGTGTCAGTGACTATACAGAAATCCTCATACCAAGCAAGCATAAAGCGACAGTGGAGAGGAAAACTCCCTTTTAACAGGAAGAAACCTCCAGAGAATCCTGGCTCAGTATAAGCAGCCATCCTCCACGACTCACTGGGGATCGAGAAGACAAAGCCACACACACACACACACACACACACACACACACACACACACACACACACACACACACACACACACACACACACACACACACACACACACACACACACACACACGGACGGACGGACAAGTAATGTGTCTACAGTTTCATTGTGATGTCTTAGTAAATATTCTATTTGGTGAAAGATAAACTTTATTATATTTATCCTAGTGGGTCTATAATTAAACGGATAAACTAGTATTAGCACATCAAAGGTAAAGGAAACCAAAAAGTTATTATCAGGAGAGAGAGAATGTTTAAGTGGTTAGCAGCAGTGTGCTAGTCGATGGCCCCCTCCATGAGGCCACCACAGCTCAGCAGAACGTCAATGTCGCATCTTCTGGGGAGAAAAACACTTACAGAGAAAATAAAGTTAACAGCTGAAATTGGACAAAATAGTACAGTTAAAGAGCAGACTGTAGAAGAAAGCAGTAGAGTGTGAGAAGTGGTCAGTGTATCCTCCAGCAGTCTTTCAATTCAATTCAATTCAAGTTTATTTATATAGCGCCAAATCACGACAAGAGTTGTCTCAATGCACTTCACATAATAAACATTCCAATTCACAGTTCATTAAGCCAATCAGAAATAATGTTTCCTATATAAGGAACCCAGCAAATTGCATCAAGTCACTGACTAGTGTCAGTGACTATACAGCAATCCTCATACTAAGCAAGCATGCAGCGAACGTGGAGAGGAAAACTCCCTTTTAACAGGAAGAAACCTCCAGAGAATCCTGGCTCAGTATAAGCAGCCATCCTCCACGACTCACTGGGGATCAAGAAGACAGAGCAGGCAGACAAAGACACAGACACACACACACACAGACACAGACACACACACACAGACAGACACAGACACAGACACAAACACAAACACAAACACACACACACCCACACACACAAAGACAAGTAATGTGTCTAAAGTTATATTGTGATGTCTTAGTAAATATTCTATTTGGTGAGAGATAAACTTTATTGTATTTATCCTAGTGGATCTATAATTAAACGGATAAACTAGTATTAGCACATCAAAAGTCAATGAAAACAAAAAGTTATTATCAGGAGAGTCTTAGCCTATAGCAGCATAACTACAGAGATAACTCTGGATAACCTATCCTATTTAGATGTAGGCATGTTGGAGGCAGGGCAAGGGAGAACCGTCTTTACCGACTGTACACTCCACCTCCCTGTACTCCCCCACTTGTCCAGATTTAGGCTTACATCAGATTTTAACCATAGGCCCTATCAAATAAAAATGTTTTAAGGCTATTCTTAAAAGTAGACAAAGTGTTAGCCTCACGGACTAAGGCTGGGAGCTGGTTCCACAGGAGAGGAGCCTGATAACTAAAAGATCTGCCTCCCATCCTAATTTTAGATATTCTTGGAACCACCAGTAGACCTGCAGTCTGAGAGCGAAGTGCTCGGTTAGGAACATATGGAGCAATCAGATTCCTAATGTATGATGGACCTTGATTATTAAGAGCTTTATATGTGAGAAGAAGGATCTTAAAATCTATTCTGAATTTAACAGGTAGCCAATGTAGGGAAGCTAAGACAGGAGAGATATGATCTCTCTTTTTAATTCTCATCAGAACTCTAGCTGCAGCATTTTGGACAAGCTGAAGACTTTTAACTACATTCTGTGGACTTCCTGAGAGTAATGAATTACAGTAATCCAGTCTTGATGAATAAATGCATGAACTAGTTTTTCAGCATCACTCCTGGAAAGGATGCTTCTAATCTTAGCAATATTCCGATGGTGGAAAAAGGAAATCCTACAAACTTGTGAAACCTGGGATTTGAATGGCATGTCCTGGTCAAAGATAACACCAAGGTTCCTTGCTTTGTTCGCGGAGATTAATGTAATGCCATTAAGGTCAGGCGATTGGCTAAGCAATTTCCTTTTCTGGATTTCTGGTCCAAAGATGAGAACTTCCGTCTTGTCTTGATTTAAAAGCAAAAAGTTTAGAGTCATCCAATTTTTTATGTCCTCAAGACAAGCCTGTAATGTACCCAACCGATTAGGTTCATCAGGGTTAATGGATAAATATAGCTGAGTATCGTCAGCATAACAGTGGAAGTTTATCCCATGCTGTCTAATGATTTTACCAATTGGGAGCATATATATAGTAAAAAGAATTGGTCCAAGCACTGAACCCTGTGGTACTCCGCAAGTAACCCTGGAGTATGAAGAAGATTTGTCATGTACGTTTACAAAATGAAATCTGTCAGACAGGTAGGATTTAAACCAGCCTAACACTGTTCCTTTGATCCCTACAACATGTTCAAGTCTTTCTAAAAGAACATTGTGATCAACTGTGTCAAAGGCAGGACTGACATCTAACAAGACTAGAACAGACACAAGATTCTTATCTGAGGCCATGAGAATATCATTTGTAACTCTCACTAATGCAGTTTCAGTGCTGTGATACTCTCTAAAACCAGACTGAAATTCCTCAAACAGATCATTAGTGTTTAAATGCTCACATACTTGGATGGCCACTATTTTCTCAAAGACTTTGGATAAAAATGGAAGGTTAGATATTGGTCTATAATTCATTGGGTCATCTGGATCCAGAGAAGGCTTCTTAAGTGAAGGTTTGATTACAGCAACCTTAAAATCTTGTGGTACATACCCATTTACTAAGGATAGATTGATTGTATCTGGAATGGGGGCAGTAACCAAAGGAAATGCATCTTTAAATAATTTGGTTGGGATTGGATCCAAAATGCAAATGGAAGGTTTAGTGTCATGGCTCGAGGTAGGTGTCTAACCCAAGACATGCAGAATCAGCACACGTAGTCCAAAGCAGTAAAGTAAAATGTCTTTATTATAAAAACGGGAACTGAAACCGCACAGGGAAGTCCTGTGGGATGAGCAACACGGCTCGAGTCTCTGAGGTGCTCAGGTTAATCAGTAGAGGAGGGGAAGCCGGGGAGGACGCTGGGCAGAGGATGAGAGATCCAGGAGGGGTGAGGTAGCAGAGGGAAAGCCAAACAGGAACGGCGGAGGAGGATGAGACGTGATGAGTATGTTCCAGAAAACGAAGACAGCGAGGGTGAGTAGATGATGAGATGATCCTGAGCGAGACAAAAACAGGCGTAAGGGATAATCCAATTCCAAATCCAAAATACAATCCAAGGTCATAAATCCACTAGTCGAAGGCGAGTCAAAACACGAATTAACAAGATCAAAGTTCAGAGTCGAGTGGCTGGTGCTACCTAAACTGGTGCAATCATCCGGCAAAGTGATGTGTCTCCATCCTCCTTTTGAACCCGCGTCCCTGATTGGGGAAATCTCCTGCAGCTGCTGCTCCCCCTGCTCCTCACCTGTGGAGAATTAGCTCAGAGTCTGGTGAGAGGAGAAGGTGTGACTCACCTCTGCCCAGGAACATGACATTTAGATGAAGCTAATATTTTTGATAACTCTGAAAGCTCAACTGGATCAAAACGGTTCAAGCACAGATGAGGTTCTACAGTCACCTCTGAAGCTGCCTCACTTACTGAGGAAGAAGAAATCACATTAGGGAGGATGCTAAAGATTTTGTTTCTAATAGAATTAATTTTACTTGTAAAAAATCCCATGAAGTCATTGCTGCTGAGGGCTAAGGGAATAGATGGTTCAGAGCTATGATTCTGTGTAAGTTTAGCAACTGTAGTGAAAAGAAATTTAGGATTATGCTTATTCTCCTCAATTAATGCTGAAAAATAAGCAGTTCTAGTTTGTTGAAGCTTATTTTTATAAAGCACAAGACTATTTTTCCAGGAGCACAAGACTATTTTCTATTTATGATTGATGGGTAACTGTAAACAATAAGCCCTCAGCAACAGTAATCTATTACATAAATCTGCACTGTTAAATCTGATTAGTTTAGCTTACTTGAAAAAAGCATGCAAACCGATTGCACTTAAAATAATAAGTACACGAGACTAGGTAATTATGTGATGGAGCTACTAATACTTTCAAGTAAAATGAACTTTTTTCTCTAAGTCAAACTACTAGTACAAAGTACTTGGAAATTTGTTTAAGCTTTAGTAAACTGCAAGCAAAACTTTCAGTACACTGTACTAGTTTGTCTTAGTACTTACTTGCATTTAAGTATGTTTTGCTGCTGTTTGGATTGCTGACTGTATTGCACATAACAAACAAGCTTGTAATATAAAGCAGGACAACACCTGTCCCCCTCCAGCTCGGCTGTGTGACTGCACTAACCTGTCCTGTGTGACCCTCACCATGTAACCCTCATGTCCATGCTGTCTCTGGAGGAGCAGATAGGAGACAAGACCTCCTGTAACTTAAAATGAACCAAAGCTTCCTCCCAGTTTCTCTTTAAGCTGAATATAACATCAGTTTATCGTCATGAAACAAAAGAATAAAGTGGAACAAGAACTTCTATCTTCTATTTCTCTCTCCTTTATCTTTTCCGTGTCCCTAAATAAAAGACGATCACGCTGCAGCCGCCGTCACTCTCCCCGCCCCCTCCCCAAGACCGGATCTCCCGACATCACAGCACTCGGTCTGACTGAGCGCTTCCAGGAGAAACAATAATGAAATTATGAAAATAATAAGGCGTGTTTGGAGGAGCATCCTCCGATCCTCTCTCTTGTGTAAGCAGACAATCTCCCTCTCTCTCTCTGTCTCAGTCGCTGATCGAGCGAGCGGAGCGCGCCGCGCGACAATGCGCTCAATTAACATAATTTACGACCCAAATCCAACAGAACCGGTCGGGCTGATTCGATTCGGGTTCGGTCTCAGGTTATAACTCCAGCGCTCAGCCCTGCAGTACCACATAAAGGCAGATCAAAGTTTCCTACCCGGTAAATGTGGAGAACACCGCTCTGACAGATGTGGATGCTGCACTGGTGCCGCCGTTAAAATAACACAACCACATTCCACTATAACTGGTTATGGTTCTCTTCTATGATGCAAAATCGTTTATGCCCGCATCTCATGCATTGATTATTTGATTATTTTCCTCAGCTCTATCCTACACCTCCCGGTCGGCCGTCAGGGGTGGGGGTAGGGGGTGCGCGCGGGGTTTGGGGGCCACAAAGAGAGGGCTCGCGGGCCGGACGTGGCCCACGGGCCGCCATTTGCAGCCCACTGTTAGAATAATAATAATAATAATTATTATTATTATTATTATTATTATTATTATTATTATTATTATTATTATTATTAACAAAAACATAACAATTCCATCGTATTTTGGGGCAGGTTCTGGTCCCGTGAGGAATCACCAGCATCTGGACTCGCTCAGCTTTTCTCCCTTCAGTAGATCAACAATGAGATTATTTTGGCTCGTCTGTTTGATTTTCAGGTGCCTTTTCTTCACACCAGCATGTGAAACAATCAATAGCATCTGGATAAAGTGGATTTTTATCACTGAGCATGGCTGCTGCACACCTCCATCAACTCTTGACAGAACTACCCATCTGCTGTGACTCAGAGCACAGCAAGTCCTCTTGAGCTGATGAAACTTTGCCAGTGTGGGAGAGTGTTGAGCGGTCCCATCTTTATTTTCCTCCTCCAACCATCTCATTTAATCCTTTACGGGCATGATCTGCCTCTGTAGCGCTCCTTCCCTCCATGCTTCCTCCCGTTTTACAGCCACAGAGCAGTGGCCAGCATCTTTCAGTGACCACTCTCTTACCTCTTCCATCAGTCTCTGCCTTCTCTTTCTCTCTGCTACAGCGTCTTTGTCGGACATTTCTTCTGATTAAAGTTATTTTAGAGGGCTCTGGCCCCTCATGCCTCCCATGAATGAATTATGGTGAAAATCTGAGGATGTGAGGAGGCTTCTGACAGTGAATTAGCCCGTTAATAAAGGCAGGTTTTACTTGGACACCCAGGATCATTTTGGCCGTGAAGTCTCCTTTCCAAGGTAGTAAACAGGGAAATCACTCCAGCCCGGTGCTAATGTGCTCATTTCTGAAATTCGGCCTGGAATCATTTCAGCTGAATCAACGCGGATCCCGCAGGCCTTGTTTGTGCTCCTGTATAATAACTGTCCAGTATCATTATTCAGAATGTTCCCTGCTGTTATTACGCCATCCTCTGACCTTTGAAGGTGCCTCCCAGCAAGCGTCAGGACTAACAGCCTCAGAGCCCTGGGTTCAGGTGAACGGCGTGGGGAACATGGAGAGGAGACAGAGCAGCAGCTGATGAACGGAACATTGTGTTCCCTTTCTGTCATCTTTCATCCACAAAGCTCCGAGCAAACAGTGACATCAGAATTCCCCAAGGAGTTTCAGTCAGACAGGAACATGCTCAAAATACCTCAGTAAGACTATTAACAGTTCTAAATGTTTTTCATAGTAATTTACCAAGATTTCAGTGTAAAAAAAGATGTTGATTTATTTAATAAACAAGATTTTAGAAAACAGTGAATCTGTTTTTTTATATTTATGAATGTAAAGTTATACGTTTTGCAAAGCATAATCTATTTAAGGTTCACATTTTTCATTTAAGAGCACAATACATTTCTATGTGACCAAACTGCAGCTCCTGTCCCAATCGGGTGTTTATGAGCTTCTAAAATCAACCCTTTGATCAGATGAGGAAAAAAACCTGGAAGCAGGAATATGAGACACTTAGATAAAAGGTTTTGTTCCTGCAGATTTAGGGTCAGGCAGATGGCTAACAACCACGACCTCAGTGGAGGTTTCACCTTAGCTTAGATTTTCTATTGATTACATCGTATTATATTATAACGGACTGTTATGATCCGCCCCGGCCTCCCTGACTGTGTTTCTCCTGTCTTGATTAACCTTATTGTTCTCACCTGTCCCTCATTAACATGCCCATGTGTTCCTGATTTTCCTGTGTATTCATACCTCCCTCCTTGTTGCTGTCTTCGTCGGATCATTGTTGTTTGTTCATGCGTATTTTGTCCCGTCTCTCCCGTTCCACCGTTAAACCATTTTTATTTTTTCATCCGTGCCTGCTTTCCTGCCTCCTGAACCCTCCACCACACTTGGTCCGCCATCTCCACCCTCACATCATGACACGGACTTGTTGGATGTTTTACAGAAGAAGACTCTTTTTTTTTAATATATAAAGCACCTCTCAAGATAAAAATAGAAAGATAAAGGCGCTTCACAAGAACAAAAATTGAAAATTAAAAAATGTTTGAAAATATTGTAATAAAAAATGGGGAAAAGGGATTTTTTTATTTTATTATTTTCCTCAGCTCTATCCTACACCTCCCGGTCGGCCCCAGGACAGACATTTACCCTAACCATCTTATCTCTTCTAATTTATCTTTAGGCCTTTTTGCTTTCTTATCTTATTTTTATATATTTTTTATCTTTTTATAATTTACCTACTTAAGGTTATCTATTACTGATGAAATAATTCTCGCATAAAGCTTGAGGCTGGGTTGTGATATGTGTGTGTGTTTGTGCCAAAAACTGCCGAAAACCAACAAATCTCACAAGGAACCAAATCCATGATGGCTTTAGCAAAACCTCTGAATGTGTTTTCATCTTTGCTTCACAACAAAAAAAACTGTGCCTTTTACTTTTCAGCTCCATGTGAGAATAAACAAGGAATTACGGAAAGCTTTGAATCAAAGCATCAGAGAGCCATCAGAGGAAGATTAGACCACTGGTCATTTTTACTCTAGGTTTGTGAGAGAAACATCGGCACCTTCCTTGATGTGTTGGCCAATTTTGCTTTCACTGGAGCCAACAGCACTTACAGTTGAGAATGCATCTATTTGAGCAATTACTGGTAACAATCTCACAAACTCCTCAGTCTCTATGCTGATGATACACCTATCTACGGCTCTAAACCAAATATCCCTGAAATAAACAATTATCTTCAACATGACAATAAGCTCCTTCTTAATTAAACTAAATCATTTTTCTTTAAGTCTGAAACTTCATATCCAATTATTCCAGAAACCAGAATTTAGGTTAAAGTGCATCTAAAGTATGAAAGTAAAAATATGACAGGGGGGGGGGGGGGGGGGGTCTTATGAAACATTTGCTGGTGGCTTTGTTTGTTTGATTGCTGTTTTCCAGTTGGTCCAAATGTAATGCATTTGTAATAATTTCCAAGAAACCTTCCCCCTTAGTACATTTTTAAATCTAATTACATTTTAATTTAAAACTGGTGTTATTTTGTCAGACAGCTCCTTTTCTAAAACCTGACGCTTGACATTTTTAGAATGCATACTTGTCTGAACTTGTGTACGCACTGACCCAAGTATCATGCCTGAGTGCGTACCATAGCAAGTACGCTACCGGATGTGTACTTGCTCCACTCATTGTATCAAGGACACATCAATGCTTCACTCTGCAGACTTGGGACAGCAAGCTTTCCCATAATGCATTGTGCCACAAACCATTATACATCGAACAGCAGATGAGAAAGCTCTTAACTTTA